TTTCTTATCCGTAGTAATAATTTCATGTAAATCTACCGAACAAAGTGAGTCGTCGAATTAAAATATCGCCGTCAAATGTTACGAGCGGTTTTTTACGCCTCAAACTATTTTAGTTGCATTAAATTTTCTGGTCTGTTGCTTTTAACACGAAACGGGGTGAATTATTTGAAAAAAAAATAAGCTATACTCTAAATTTAAGAACTACCCGGCCCCTAAGCACATTTTAAAATACAATCCGTTTTAATGGTTCTTGTCTGTGGTGGGTAAAACCCATCAATTACTTTTTCATTTAAAAACCACGGTGGATACACAAATATATGAATATAATACATGTATATATATATATGGATATTCACTTGGCCTTGGGAAAAACGTCAATCTCTAACAACCGTGAAATTGATTTTTGATGTTGTTATAATATCGTATATAACGTTTTACACCTAAATGGCTATATATGACCATGTCAAACCTCGTGTCGACGCGCAGCGGCGGTCCCAGACATGTGGTTTTTATAGCCATAAATACTCAAGGACTTTTTAATTTTTACTCCGAACGTCATAATTTTGGCATTGATGCTTGATATTTTTATTAATTTTAACATTTTATTATCATAATGTTACACATCAGTACTGCTAAACGGTTTCAAATAATAAATTTCGTCAGACTTTCAAGTTCTCGTCAAAATAATAATATACACATAGATATGTTGTCTTTGTAAAGCTACCGTGTATTTTTTTTTTTTTTTTTTTTTTTTTGTATCATTAAATGTTGGAAAAAAAATGATGTCATAAAACAAATAATTATTCTCGTCGAGGTATTTTCATTATAAATGTTCTACATCAATTCACGAAAACCTTGTTTACAGTACACAGAAAGTAAGCTGATTTACAATTTAAGTATTATTGCGATATTATTAAAGCTTGTGTGAACAAATCCACTGGCAATATTCAATATTATTACAAATATAACCGTTTACATCTGTGAACACTACAGTACTTTTTTAACAAAAATACATGTGTACAATTGAAATATGTGAAAAATCTATTGTATATTTTGAATACATAAAATAAATATGAATTCCATTAAAAGCATTGTCAGTATAAACAAAGATGATAAATTGATTTATTTCTTCGCGAATTCATATTAATTTAGAATCAAATTTAAAAACGTTGAAAAATAAGATAAATTATTATTAGGTATACATTATTCATCACTAAAACTGTATCAAAAATAATAAAGACAAAAGTATATAATATGGTTTATTTCAGTATCTATGCGTAACTGTGAGTTTCTAAGCACATCATTAAATGGGGCATACGTTTATCATTATAACAGTATATTTTATTTTATTAAACATCAACACATATTGTAGTATTAAATTAAAAATAATTTACATCGATCAAATATATAAAAAACATATATAAATATAGGTACCCTATATGTGTTTTTTTTTTTGTTTATTAGTTTTTGTACTATTTTCAATGCCTTTACTTTGTGAGATTAACAAGACTATTGCAAATATTTTGTTGTAATGTCAATTTTTATTGATTTTGATCCATCATTGAATAATATTCTACTGCAATATTAATATGATGATGTGTGTAATTCATAGTTTATCCACTGTATTCGGCTATATAGTATATATATATATATATAAGTAAATTTAATATATAACAGGTTACTGTTATAAATCTGCTTTTAAATTGCACGTTTTTATATTTTGTCAAATAAAAATAGATGTATTATAAAAAAAATGAGTTATATTTTCGATCCGTATTAAATACCGATTAAAACGCACTGTAGTGACTTATTTTCTGGTCCTTATAAATAATTTAAAAAAAAAACTGATTGTGTACACAAATCGGTATTTTTAAATGTCATCGACAACCGACAATTTGTTTTTTTTTACGTTTAATTTATCAGAAAAACAATATCTGTTCGGATATGGTCTTCGGTTATATTTCGTTCACTATTTTTTTTTCTCTATGCCAAACGTAATCAATCATCGATGCGTCATGGCGATGACACATGATAGGGGGAAAAAAACTAAACTCGTGTTCAGCAACGGTATTACAGCCGGGGATTATGAATTATTAATAGGCGTCATCGTAATTACACGGAAGGTGCCTGGAATGTCAAAAAATTCAGGAAAAATGAACACGAACTACAGCTTTCAAAGGGTTTACGACAGGAAAATATGATGAAGAGATAAAGTTTAACGTATTTCTAAAGCATTCCCAAAGTACCCGCTTGATAAAAAAAAAAATGTACCTACCAACATTATAACGGTTTCACCTTTTAAAAATTATTATTGTATTTTTAAAATATTTATTTATTTGCTAAGCAGATAATTAAATATAAGTACTAAGTATATTTAGTTCTACATTGATATAAGTGAATTTTGACATGTGTAAATAATTTAAAAATATCTATAATAATATAGTTTTTTTTTTTTTTTTTAAATTATATGAAATAATAATGCGTATGAACTTAGAAAAAATATTATAATGTGACAAAAAAAATTATAATAAATACGTAATATTATTATAAATGTTTTTATAAGTAAGAATAGTAAATTTAATAATAAAAATCTTTATTATTCTACCTTAGAAGGTGAATTGTATTTAACTATGCATTTAAATCATATAAAAGACAGTTTTTTTTTTTTTTTTTTTTTTTGAAATTATATTCAAATGTCAAAAAACTTATTGAATGGAATTTGCCCGTGGTTTACTCTGTGTTTCATTCAATCTAGTTGAGTTAAGAAGTTGTGTAAAAAACCGACATTAATATACTTGAATTATCTCTGTTAAGGACAGCATAAAGGGTCAATTATTAACCCTTGTCGTGAAAATTACATTGAATATTCCAGTGTATACAGAATACTAACGTTGTGTACCTATTGAACTATTGTACTTAACCTGAATTAACTGTCACAGACTCTATATCATGTGTTCCAAACACGCAATGTCTTTAAAAATGTTCGCGTTCAAATATTTTATTTTTTAATCGTAATTTATATACTTACCCAATATTCCAAGTCTGTAATTTATGGTGACTACTACTAGACCACCATAGCTTGCCAAAACTGTACCATCGTATGGATTCCCCGAATTCCATTCGTACGATTCACCGTGTATGAACACGAGTACAGGCTTTGGTGATATTTTATCCGCACTTCCGAAATTCACTATGACATAAAATAAAATAAAATTAGAATTATAAATTATACATTTTATTGAAAGTGAAACAATTTATAAATTGTACTTAAACACAGTAAATTATAATTTACCGCAAATACATAAACGATGTTCACTATGATGCTTTAAATTATCTACTAATAATGTTTCAGTTTAAAATAAAAATCAATTTTGACTTATCTTTAAATTCTACTTGTTTTAGTTTAAACCTCCGAAAAAGGTTGTTACTTTTTTTTTTTAATGTTATGCAAAACCGGTACCTATTTAGCTTATCATAGACGGTAAAAGATATATAAGTAATTTCACAAATTGAATACTTACAAACAATTCTTACTATAATGTGTTTGTCCTTAGTATTTTATATAACTTTTTTATTTTTAACTTAAATAAAAAAGTATAAAACTACAGTCCAGGAACAAAAAATATTAAACATACTTTATTCTAACAAGCATTTTTTTTTTCACGATTATTCGATTAAAAAATATAATATATTAACGTCGTAAAATTATTTACATCATATGAGACACATAAAATATAAAACACTAAAGACTTAATTGTATAATTTCGTAAACAAAATTGCAACTTTTGTTGCCTTTCTATCGATTTTGGATTTCATCCAAAGTTTTTCCTTGATGCCCAATTATATCCAAAATTCAGTAAATTCTCATTAGCTTCAAACTTAATTTTTTTCAACTGCCTTTTTTCGAGTTTTTATCTTGTATCAATTAGTGAAACGAATTATCAAATGAAAAAAAAACCTCTTACATAATATCTGTATATACATCTAGCCGTTTGAATATTAAAGAACTTTAAAGATTGCATAAATATAGAAGTTAAATTAAATGTAAAGTTTATAAGCCGAGTCGTTAAAACGTTATATTATAACTATTTCAGTATATAAGTACATATTACAATACTATACTTTCGACAAATTAATATGAAATATGTAAATTATTCTGAAATAAAACTCAGTTGTAAATGCCGTAGCGAAGTATTTGTCGTTCGAGTATAAATCTTTAGATTTAATTGTCACGTCGTTTCGATTGTATAAACACCGTAAACATATTATAGTATTATGTATTATTAAAGTACACAGAGGGAGTGCTAATGAGCGAAACAACGGTTGTTTCCATAATATACATTATATTGTGCATTATTATTAAAAGTCTCTACAGGGCGTAGGTACCTACTATGCTGCGAGAACGATAATGACAATAATAATACAGTAATCGGAATACGTTACAAAGTATGATTATACGTGGAATGAAACGCAGGGAACGGATTTCCAATTTCCATATTATATTGATAAGTTTTATTTATTTTCTCAGTTCGTTTGGCAGTGCAGAGCCGTCGGCGAATACGTGACTATATTATCGTGTCCGAGGTGTCTAGCGTATAAAACGACCAATAAAATAATTCCGGGATACAACAAATATAAAAATAATATTTGAATTCGACCGACCGGGCCAACCGAATCGCAGCCTGCGGGATCAATTGTCAGCGCCCGGCTTGCAATGTGAAGTGGGATTGCGTTCAAGTACACCCGCGACTAATGGCCAGCCCTGTAGGGAATATCATAATAATATATATCGTCGCCCCTTTAAATCAATTTGTTCCCGAATAGACTTGTGACGAGAACGGGGGCCTTAAATTCGTTTACCGGAAACTACAATAATGATGACAAATAATGGACAAGGTCATCGTGTCGGTGCCGGTGCCGAGATGAACCGCCTTTACCTCCACCTCCATTACCATCACTTCTTCCACAGCCGCCACATCTATAACCATCGACGGCCATTGTTATGTTTGGTCACGTTTCATTAACACGGTTGCGGTCGCGCGTTTTACGCGCATCTCGCGGGTATCGTTGACGTGCAAAACCATTCTTCTTCCTGCACAACCACCGCCACCGATTCCCTGTGCGAAAAACCTTAGTCTATCCTGACAAAAACAACTCGGCTGGCAAAATTGACAACATTAATACATTATAACCGCGCTACCGTTGGCGCTATTTTTTCCCCGTATCAACGATTACTCTCACGCCATCCAATAAAGCACGACGTATAGTGATGACGTGGTATTATAGTTTTAAAAATTAGGTAACGTATATTATATTAAAATAATATTATTATACTTATATATATATATATATATAATATATGTATAAATATAATGCGTGTGAGTGTGCGTAGGTATAATGTAATTATAAGTAGATTTTTTTCAATAAATGGTTTATTGTTACAGAATAATTATAACGGTGTATTGTCTTTAATGTTTTTAATTAATTTTTAAACAAAGCTCAGGGTTAGGCGAGATGGATTTTTTTTTATTATTATCATAATATGCTATAACTATTAACAAATCGTTTACGCTCCAACTTTATACTATTCACTGATTTTCGAAATTATAATTTTTGTTGATTTTTTTCAATAACGCTATTAATCTGTACATAATATTATATTGCTAACATTTTTCTCTCTCTCTAAATTTCAAAAATAACCTTTTTATTTTTGTACGCTAAAAATCCGAGAATGCTTTATAAAAAAAATAATCATTTTGGCGTTCACTTTCCATTAATTCAGGTGTTTATAACTGATACATTGTAGTTTGTGAATAGTTTCTGCTTCTAAATAATTAAATTTTGTGTGATCGTAATTTTGAATTTTAATCACCTACAGTAAATATAATGGTATAATACCGTAAAAGTTAATTAAATCTTAATAAATAAATGGTAATTGTTTTTTAAATATAAAAATAATCTGATGTATTGACATATATAACGAATTAATTAAAAAAATTTTGAATTTCAAATTAGTAAAACCATTTTGAAAGAACGTTTCTTCTACAAAGAATATAATAAAATCTAAATTCATATATATATATATATATAATTAAAACATTTTGAACTAAAATTAATTGGAATAATAATGTTGTTACATAATAATTTATGATTTTAGGATACAAATTATTTTATTGAAGGTCAAATTTCCACACAATAAAAAATAAAAATACTTGTTTCAAAATGTAAGTTACATATATAGAATATTTTAGAGTTCTTTGAAAATTAAACGTGTAAATCAATAACTTTTAATTTTGATACACGTATTTAATTTTTATAATTAGTTTGATAATATATTTTATACAATAACATAATTCATTACATTTTAAAGTCGTAATAGACAAGCGGTTATTACTCTACAAGGTAACACAACATTTTTAATAATGACAGAATATATTTTATTCAATTAGTCAACTAAATGCCATCATAGTACACGAACACAATTTATACATTACGCATTTTTTATACTATACAGAGATAAATAAATAATTTTGATATGTAAGTATATGTAACATTTGAGCCATATTTAATTTTTAATTATTTATTATTATTATTATTATTATTGTGTTCTGACACTATTAAACTATTTGATATTTTTAAAATTAAATTTCCGTTGAATTGAGGGAAATATAATTACATCGGTGTAGAATATTGGCATGTGTGATAATTTATAATTCATATATTTGACACAATGTTATCTTTCAACTGACAATTTTATTTTGTCTTTTTGACTCGATATTTTAACACTAACGAATACGCACGTCGTTGGAGTGTCTATTTTCCTCACAATAACTTCCGAAATAACCATATATAAGAACATTTGTTAGATCATTTGTAATTCGATTTCGTTCATCAAAGGCGACGACATCCATGTATCTACCCTCGGGACAATGAAAAAAAGAAAAAAAGTGGCAATATCGGTCAACGAAATAAAAACTCTGCATTTATCAAACATTTTTATCTAACACCTTAAAAATATTTCTTCTTCTATATCAGTAGGATTTTTTTTTTTTTTTTTTAACTTAATTGTACATTCTATTTTATTAAGATAATAACAGAAAAATATAACAGTAATAAATCGCTATAGATTCTATTATTCTAAAAACATAAAGTTCGTTTAATGAATGAAAAACTTTTTTTATGAAGATACTATACGATTTTAATAAATATATTAATGAAGCAAATATATTCTTAAATATTATAACGTTAATATAAGCTAAAAATCAAATTTAGTATTTATTTTAATTATCTTTAGTTTTATATTTAAATCATACAATAATATATATATATATATATTATATATATATATATATATATAAACAATTTAAATTGTCTGTTTAAAAACTCTACAAAAATATAAAACTTACATTTTATTCATTTATATTGTATATATTAAACAAAGTATTTTTAGTAATCAACCGATGAAGTTTTAAGTCACTCACTGGAATATTTTATATATATATTATATAGAAATGAAATCACAGTGTATTGTATTAAACAAGACATACGTACATTAAGTAAGTGCGTCATTTTTGTATAACTAATTTAAAATATAATTAATTAGTTCTTGAATATGATTGATGCTTAAGTTATTAATTTTATTAAAAATATTTATAAATCTACAAAATTAAAATTATATATATATATATATGTATAACAATTTATTATTTTTAATCTTATAAAATATCGACGAATGGCTCGTTAAATTGTATATTAGCCATTCTGATATACAAAGTTTGTGACACATGATATGAATATAGATACATTATAATGTTATCTGTTTTGTATAATCGAATATTTTTAAGATAAAATTATTATATTAATACCTTTGAAGTAATTAATTTATTATCTTAAGCCATTGTGTAAAAAATAAATATTAAAATCTTAAGATTTTGTTGCACAGATATGGAAAATAAATTCAGTTAGTTCAATTTTTTGTTGAGTATAAGTCCATAGTTCTATAGAAGAAGATAACAATTTTTAATAATTTATGTAGCAAAATAATTAAATTTTGTATAGCATATCTTTAAGAATTTAAGCTGTTATATATAATTATTCTGTTGTTAAATTTATTAGCTTTGTAGAAAAGTTTGGTAGACTGATTTATACACGCGATACAGAATTAATAATTATAAAAAATATTGTTTTTTACTTCAAATTCTTAGCGCTAGGAGTACAAGAAATAAAAACTAAGACCAGAGAATTCCATTTATTAAAACAGTATCAACTAATACATGAATATCGTTTTTATATTTCAATTAGCTTAGAAGCTATATTCATACAGATTGGTTAAACATTGTTTAAAAATCTATAACGTTTCATATCGTATACGATTTCAACAACATACTATATACATTTACTGAATCTTTCGATCCAAAACATCTTTGTTAAGTTAAACCTATAAGCTCAACGTAGACTTTGATTGTACAATTGAAGACAAATTGAAAAAAAACAAGTTAACGACTTTAGACAAATGATTGAAAACGATTTGTTTTCTTCTTTTACAATACCGATAAGAAACATACGGTTTATTTTATTTAAATTCCTCTATGTATTAGGCTTACAAATTGAAATCATTTATATTAAACACTAATCTCATAATGTATAGCTACAATTTTGTTTACTGTTGAAAAACATTCAAATATAATATATATATTGTCTATCAACAAATGATATAATATAACGTTTGGTTAAAACATAAAATGTATTGAAATTCAAAAAAAGTTTGAACATCACGTTGTAAATAAATAGTTTTAAAAAAGAATGTAAATATTCAAACCTAAATTGAATTTAAATTTTAGAATCTATAAGGAATTCAGAACCTTGTGAATAGTTAACTAATTATGTATAATTTATGTAATTCACATATTTATTTTGAGGTAAATGTTGAAAGTCACTGTTATTTTCATTCAAAGCATACACGTAACATGGTCTTGAAATATATAGTTTTTATGTATGATTTATACAACTTGAAGTTTTATAGAAAATGAAGATAATATTGTTATATTATTAGTATTTAGGTAATATTATATTTTTGAAGCAATATTTTACTGTGCGAGCGGAATATTAAGTTTTCAGCAAAGCCACAAGCACAAGAACTACGAAACGATAGTGTAAGAATGAAGTATACTGCGCTCGTTGTGGTATACGAACGAAAAAAGTTGAAAATGTAGTTGAGCACACCAGTGGTATTGACGAACCACCAAAACATAAATAGAAATGAAAAGAGAATTTAATTAACAACAGGCCACGTTTATTTCTGGGCCTAGTGTTGTATTGATTGACGTGTCAATTATGTTGGGGTTGTAATAATCATTTATATAGGCCATATATAGATTGATCCATTGGATGAGAATTGTGCCCGATGCAGACATACTATTCACTTATAAGGAATGTCTATACAATTGAAAAATAAGATTGACGATTTTTACCTTTTAACAAATTTAAGAGAAAATAAAATTTATTTTATTCGTTGAATGACCTCTGTAAATTTTCAATGATGTAGTGTTTGACGTGATATTATATTGTTTTTTTTTTATTTTTTTAAGACAATGTATTACAGTTATACCGGTATTTAGAAATATTTTAGTTATCATAATTATTTTAAAAACTAATCAAAAGTTAAACTTGTGTTTTACTTGTTTTTTTTTTTTTATAGTCGACAATAATTGTTATGTCCATCAATTAATCAGAGAAACTTGAGAAATCTCACATTTCGTAGGAACTTGATTTGTAAGTTAATTCGTTAATATTTTTATATCACAAGTAAACTAAGTAAACTAGATAATATTATTATTTTATAATGATACTAATTATTATTAAATACATATTTTATACAATTTTGTAATATTATACATTCATCGTTTCTAAATTATTAACCAACTATATTTATAATTAATTATGGGTTTGATATAAATAAATCTTTTGTTTTACATGATGTTGAATTAATGTTTGCTTTTTCTATAGTGTATGTACTAACGGTTAAAATATATTAAATACGTATTATATTACAAGATGATTATTTACTTTCTGATAATAACGTTTATTTTAATTATGCAACCCCAACAATTACTCGTTATCATATTACAATATTTTCAACAGCATTAAACATTATAATTAAAATGTTATTTTTTATGATAAAATAATTATAGAAATTGATTCAAATTTTTAATACTGTATTGATATTTGTTTCCTCCTAGAGAAAGAATTCAAAATATATTTGTAAGAAACTTATCATTAAATTTGGATTTAATGTTTAACAAACCAATAAAATAAGAAGAAAATACAAATATTACAGTTTAATCTGGTTTAAATATATTTATATGAATTAAATACTAGTATTAAATTTATAAAACATCCAAAACTATATTTAAATTATGTGTTTAATCTATTTAATGAAAATATTTATCTGCCCGGTAGATTATTTTCTATAAATTAAACAAGGATATTTCCACCAGTTAAATTTCATTTTGACAATGAAAGTCTAAACCAACGGATTCATTGAAATTTATATAAATTATATAAATTGCTACTATTCAATAAAACTATCATATGAATAATTCATGGTTTGCCGTCTAAATAATAGGAAAACTTTTTTTTTTTAATTGTATAGGTATATCGTCTGCAATAGAAACATAATATATCATTTGAAATTATGAGCTGCAATTAAATTTTAAATAATTGACGGCATTTTTTTTTTTTTTATTATAAAATAATTAATTTAACTCATGTTTAACGTATATTCATTTTTAAACATTTTAAGTTAAAAAAAAAAATGATATTGTACATTACATTTTAGTAAACTTACATAACTTAAAGTTCGGTATTAAATATTATAATACATTTAAATGTGTTATTTAAGTTATAATATTTAATAATAGATCATACAAAATATATTAAAATAAATAGAAACACAATTGGAATAAAAAATATAAATGCTTAAAAAAATAATTAAAAAAACATTCATTGTTTCACCCACAATCCAAAACTAATAATTTGGTACCAGTAAGTTATTGTGATGAAACCTTCACATAAATGTAGTAATATTGCCTATATACGACGCCAAGTTACACGTTTACATAACGTTATATTATTAATAATATTATAAAGTCGAATATTTTTTGAAGTATTTAACTATTTTTATTCTTTATGTTGTGATAATTTAAGTATTATGAACGTTTAATTATGATTTGATACAATATAATCATTTAATTTTTATGGTTGGCAATATACCTAAATATATATTATGCATTATGGAATCATATTTCAGTCTATAAAATGTCGATAATATAAACAAGCTATTTGTTATAATAGTAAATATATAATGTTTAGTTAACTAAAGTATCATATTTGATTATATTTTTTCAATTATTATTATACAGTTATGATTCGTAATTTTCTATAAATTAAGTTTAAATTTGTTTTATATAGGTACTATGATTCTTGTGCTTGGTCATTAATTTATTTACTATATTAAACAATTTAAAACTACATGCGTATATATAAACAAAACATTACTATATATATTATCATGTTTGAACTATAATTAAAAAAATTGCTTCAAACAATGTCTGCAATATTGATTTTCTGTTTTGGATCCACCCGCAGTAAAGATAAGACGCATTAACGTAAAATTATTTTCACTTAAAACTCAAAATATCAATCTCAGAGTAAAATTACCTATAACAAAAGTTATGAAGAATCATAATTTCAAATTATTCAAAAACATAAAAAACTAATTTTACTTGAATGCGATTTATATATGTTATAAGTAGATCAAAAAGAAAACAAATATTTCGCCAAAATCATGTTAAAAGTTATTTTATTTGTATACTTTTGACTAAAATTGTATATTATTTTAAAATATTTTATGTTTGTTATTTATTACTGTTGGTTTAAGTATTATAATAAGAAAATATGCATACTAATTAAAATGATGATTAAATTTATAGTGTAAATTTGATGGAATGAGTTATGAGAAATCAATAAAATATTTGAAACATACATAGTAAATAATATTTTGTTATATTTAATACAATAACGTTATTGTGTTAATAAAATAGCATTATTCAAATTTAATAATAAATATTTTAAACCTAATATATATTAATTTTATCATTTAAACTTATTAATTTTGATTATTTTTTTTTTTTTTTTTACCACTATAAAGTAAGTAGTAATTCACCAATTGATTTGTCTTAAGCTATGAGTTCAATTAGGTCAAAGTTCTGAAATTAAAAAGTAATAATAGTTATTAAATTTAATATTAGATATTATATTTAGCGAAGTAAAACAAGACTTATTTCGAATAATCCCAAAGAAAAAACAATTAAATTCTTTTACATGATACAATCAATTAGAAATATGATTTGTCTTATATTAATTGAAATTTATATTATTATGAGCATTGTTCAGTTTAAAGATATAATAAGTATACTGACTAAACCGTTATTTATAAATATTTTAATCCTGCTGTAAGTATTATATGGGATATCGTCCGATAATCGATTTAAAATGAATCACCATATGGTGCACGGGTCCTCTGAACACCAGTCACGTCCCGAAAGAAAAATAACAAGTTACCCATTATCGATCCACCACCCTTAAGTGCATCTAAGCTCGCAATCACAAAACGATTATTATGTTAATACCTAATGCAATTGCTATGTTTTGTCAACTATTTGTAGTTACTGGGTAAAACCACAGTAATATCGTTACACATAGTGCAATATCCAGTAATCAATTAATCGGAGTTTTCTTCTAAAAGCTTAAATTCCTCGCAGGTATTGTAGCTATTGTTGGGATTTCTATACAATGAAATCGCCATCTGATCGCAACTTATACGTATATAACATCATGAGATCTTGTACGTCTGTATTTTTTATTTGTGTAGTGACCATAATTTCAGAAAATTTTCTACCGTTACCGCTTCTAAAGTAATCTTCGGAAAAATTACTTGACTCGTTATCACAGCGAACACTGCACTAAGTCTCGACCGTTTACTGTTTAAGTATGATTGTTGTCTGCCGTATTTTTATTTCGATAATTTCGTTTTATATTGCAAGAATAATATTTAATTATTATTAATATTTCGACATTAGTTCACTGACCACGGATTTTGATCAAGTATTTATACGGAAAAAATAAATAAAAAATAAGGAATTATATATTATTTATCTTTTATATAAACTACCGTTGTTTATTTTCTAATAAATTATCATTGATTATGATTACTCTATCACTAATTTATACTTTAGAATAAAAATATATAAAACCTATACCAAATTATTTTTTTTTTCAATAATATGTTTACCGTTATATACGATATTTATTAAGGTGTATTTCCCTGGCACCCCCACCATAGAATTTCGGATTCAAACCAAGGGCTTTCGTTTGTGCTACGTTTGTGCTGGATTGTGCCCGAGTTTCATCGTTTGTGCTACAACCCTTCAGGATTTATAAGGGATTATTTGTGGGGGTGCTGGCGAAACGACTGGGGGTGCAGTTTAGAGTAAAGTTAAATTTGAACCTAAAAATTACGAGAAATAATCAAAAGACTCATATAGAACATTTACCTATTAACAACAAACAGTTTCCGACAAAACTCTAGGGGCTGTACTCGTTTTAGGATTTCCAGAGCACCTACTTATAAAAAAGATTAAATACTTTTTTACGAATAACGAGTAAAGCAATAACGATGGGAAAAAGAGTACAAATAATCACTAACAATGTCAAAACCAACGTAACTGATTTGGATTAATAATTGTTAATGGTAGTGTGTCAACATAAAATGGCTCATTTGGAGTTCTAAAATTTTGAATTTGGGGTGTGTTATGACCTCACAAAAAATCCCTTATAACTCCTGAAGGGTTGTAGCACAAACGATGAAACTCGGGCACAATCTAGCACAAACGAATGGCATAATTTAAATTTGACCTAACCTAATTCTGAGGTGAGGGTGCAGTCGTTTCGCCAGCACTCCCACAAATAATCCCTTATAACTCCTGAAGGGTTGTAGCACAAACGATGAAACTCGGGCACAATATAGCACAAACGTAGCACAAACGAATGACATAATTTAAATTTGACCTAACCTAATTCTGAGGTGGGGGTGCAGTCGTTTCGCCAGCACCCCCACAAAAAATCCCTTATAAATCCTGAAGGGTTGTAGCACAAACGATGAAACTCGGGCACAATAATTGTGCACAAATGTAGCACAAATGAAAGCCCTTGGTTTGAATCCAAAATTCTGAGGTGGGGGTGCCAGGGAAATGCATCTTATTTATTAAATTAGTAAGTATAAAAATAACGGATAGGTAAAAAAAAGTGTTATGAAATTAACTGGTTAATAGGACCGGAATAGATCAATACGTTGTGCAATAAGTGGATTCCACTGTAATTATATAGAGATTTTCAAATCAACTTTTTCAGAAACAGAATCGATTGGCATTTGAAACCAATAAAGAATACATGATTGATAAACAACTTTCATCGAAAAAATGTAAATATGCAAAATAATTAAGTTAGGCACCAACTTTATTGAATTCAAAAATGTGTTTTTATTAAAAAAAAAAAACACTTGTTTGAGAATGAAAATTTTTTTAGAAGTTGTATACATTTGAATTTAGAATAAAATAGTTTTTTAAATTATAATTTATACTCAAAATGCATAACCAAATTATACGTTTAACTACTCTTAAATAATATATAATTTATTATATATTGTATTATTGAATATGACATAGTTCAGTAATTTAATAAAATATCAGTTTGTCGTTAATATGGCATGCAAATTATTACCAAACAGCAGTATTGTTTTAAACAAATGTAATATTTTTGTTAAATTCCCGGTAAATTACATATTAAAGCTAAGGTCAATTTTCAATCGAGGGGAAACATTAAGGAGTACAGTCAGCTAGGTTAGACCCATCATTTTCTCCGTATTCTCGTTGCCAGTACTCTCACTATACCACGTTTTCCTGTAAACATATATTATATCATATTTTCCTGGATCCGGGTCATTAGCTATATACTAACGGTATGTTCAGAAAACCTGCAAACCTGCTTTGCCCTTAATTTCCTGCGAGTTCCGTTCAAATAATGATCATGCGATTTGTAATTAATTTAATCTCCTCTTTATCCACCACTACTCTTGTGGCAACATTTAAGTCTGTTATTCAAATCTCGGGACGTTTAATTTGGATACTTTCTTGTTGTGGCAATTTACACCAAAGCAAATTTTAACTATCCAACTGCTGCACGTGATGCTATATTATTTAACAAAACTAACATTTAACTTAAATATATTAGAGCGTTGATAATTTAAATATTTTAATGACATCAAGCAATGATTTAAACGAAAATAGTTATAAACAGTTATCTTGTAATCTAATTAATATATATAATGATTCAATGTGTCATATAATTTAGCTTTAAAAAAATATAAGATTCTACAAAATTTTTCAAAAAATATAATATTAAATTATTTACATTGATATTGCCATTGTTTTAATTACAGTAGTAAATATAAAATTATTTGCAGATGTTATTTCAAATGGAAAAATTCAAAATGTATTAATAATCAAGCATGCTGTTTCAAGTAGGTACCCACTCAAAGATATATATGTATATATAGTTTCTTGAATCGTTAAAAATACGTATTCCCACAAAATGGCTTTGTTTCAATATAATACTACAACGGTCAACGACACATTGAAATCGTGTGAATGCATTGATAATATGGTTACAAGTGATAATTGTGTTCACGGATCAACGACCAAATTACGATATACGATCATTCCTCTCGTTGTCCGCAATTGTCCTAAAATTTATTAAAATGACAATGGTTGATGACGGTAAACTGCTATTTTTTTTTTATCGTTAGAACTCGGAAGAGTCATATGATTATTTTTGTATTGAATTTTCGCATTTTATTATTATTACTTTTTATTCTTTTTTTTTTTTTTTTACCAAAGCGACACACGGTACATTAGATGGGAGCGATGTGACCAACCGGCAGTTACCAATTGTCCTGCCATCACACCATAATACTGTTGGACGTATATACGTGTATATGCATATGTGTACATAAAATCGTATAATAATAATATCTACCTCCCTTTTGTCGTCGTTTACGATCTCGTTTTCATGTTGTTTCGATCGAAACGACGCTGCCGACCCGCAAATGCATCAGTAGCGGAAAACGAACGATAAAATAAAACGGACCACGTTTAATTCACCCACGGCATCCACACCATCGTACAATAAAAATTCAATTCTCCTCTCGTTCGTTTTTCTTTCTGCACATCGGTCCGTTTATAACGATTTGAATAGGGTTTCCGGTGTGTTGAACACGCGCACATTAAACGAGTTAAAAGTTATGGACTCTCTTTTTTCTTCTTTAATTTTACTGTTTTTATTTCCACACACATATCGTTGTATATATATATATATATATATATATATATTTAGATATTTATTTATATTTATAATGGTATCTTTTCTTCGTACATACATAGAGATCAAAACCTGCTTGGAGCAAAATTCATTGTAGCAGGTAGCCATATGGTTATAATATGTGATAACGCGTTTGCGTTTGTATTTCCTGTAGGTATATTGTTAGCGAATGGAATGATAACTGTTTAATTTATCGCCAGGAGGAACGCTTGCTGTCCAATAGCGTTCAAATGAGAGTGACACAAATACATTTTCACACGCACGCATATACGTAAATTTACTCTTTCGCTTGGCGTACGGACGTGAGAACATTTCGCATTCGCCGTTAATGTTATCGAGTTTAATGTTTCACATATGGCAACGACTATGACGGTTACTGTGGCCGCTTCGACGGTGACTGCTGATATACCACACCACAAACTCCATTATCGTCTTGCAAGATGCATTCTGTAAGTATAAGCATCCGGTATGGGAACGTTTTCGATACGTCGCACGTGTCCGTCGGGGTTACCCATCCTAAAAACTTCAGTCACGAATAACACGTGCTATTACAAATTCTCTCTTGTACCATCATTTACCTTCTCCGTTGGCATCAATTTCAAAACTCAGTGTACTCAGTATAAGACTTCATCCATTTCCATTGCCACTACAACTCGAAATGAGTATGAGGACTGTGTGGTTTTGAGTTTTTCTCCTCATAATATATATGCACTGATGCTGTTTGACGTGAAAACGTACGCTTTTACAATCGCATTATAATACAGTTCATAGCATTATTCTTTCTGTCAAAATCGACATAAATAGATCACATGAAAACGAACGTTACATACATATTATAAATATAAACTTACTACGATGTGATATTTTGTGTTATATACTATTATTTTTTTTTTTACGAATATTTCAAATTCCTTTTATTATACCGTAAAACACATTTTATTTAACTTTTCTCCTTTATTTCTAAGTTGCAACCATATACTAATTATTTGATTGCTGGCTCGAATAAAAGTTTTATCATCAAACACTACTAAAGTTAAATCAAAATTAATGTTGCTCAGTTCAAAAATTGTATAATTTAATTAATAATTTTAACTCCACGAACAAAGAATAGATAGAATATATTTTTTATAAATTTAAGTAAGTTAAATAAAGAAAGAAAGAGACTACAACGACTAATAATTAATAAATTGCATTATCATAGACTTAATGTGAAATTATTTTAAATGATATGAATTATCCAATAAATGTAATGCAGTTTTTGTTACTAAAAATAAAAAAAAGAATATTTCAATATTAGAAGCATATTATATACATTTTAATTGGCTTGTTTATAACCATCAGAGTCAATAAGTATAAAATAAATTATTCATATAAAAATATATTAGGGGAGTTTAAAAATTAAAATCCATGTTTTATAATAAATTTAATATAGTACATCAGCCAAAATAAATTTACAGTATTGAATAAATTAAAAATAAGTAAATATTATAGTAGACGTCGTATAAACCATATTAATAACTAATACTTTTATATTAATCAATTAATTTGCCACGGTAATAATAAATTTATATTAATATAATATATATATATATATATATATATATATATATATACATAATACGTATTAAACATGATTAATTAAATAAAAAGTTAAATAGTCACTTAAAGTAAAGTTAGAAATTATTGAAATATCTTTTTTTTAGTATTTAAAAATGGATGATAATTTTCTCAGTTCGTAATTTATAACATTAAGTATAATCAGAATGAGACAACACAAATGTTAAGTTCCAATTAGTGAACTCTAAAATATGACATGTCCAACTTCAGTCTTTTTGAATAAGTATTTTAATTTAATTTTTTTTTTTTTTGTTTTAGTCTAATGATCCTTTTTGTGGATAAAAAAAAAAAACATTCAAAACATACAATTACTGTTGCCATCAAAATATGACTGTTCGTCATTATTTCAAGCCGTGTTAGCGCCATGCATGTTTTGAAGTCGCAATCTTTGTTATTTTATGTGGTTTCTGAAATTACTATTACAAGGTATTAGTTTCAAATATAAATATTTTAATTTTTTTGTTAATATAATGATTATACAATTATTATTTGTATTATTCTGAAATGTATTAAAATGAAGTGTCTTCAATAGTATTATATATTTTATTTTTTTTTTTATTTTTATAGAATAAACAACCAGGTTTTATTTACTTACGGTTATCTTAGGTTAAGTTATTAATTCTTAATGACATACAGGGTAACAACATTGGACTAAGTTAAATTAAGTTATACTCGTACATTTAATTTTTTTTTAAGAAGGGTATAATATTGCTTTAGCGTCCACATAAGGACCTAATGCTAAAATTAAAAAAACATATCAGATATTCTTCTTACTCTATCAGGTATTCTTAAGTGATTCTTGTGTGATCAATTCTGAGTCTGTTTAAAGTGACTTCTTCTTTTTGGCTTAAATTGTTGGGCTTAGGCCAGAGTTTTGATGAATTTTTAATTTATTTTAATTTATTATCTGTTACTAGTTGCCATTCATAACTCCATAGTATTATACAGTGTTTTTCGACATATCTATGTATATCAACTAGTGAAATAAAGAAAAGTAATTTCCTGTCGGAGTTGTTTATAATATTTTATTATATTTCCAATAAGTAAGTAACCTAACGCTAAAATACATTTTTCAATTTCATATTTTTATTTTTATTAATTTTTTAAAGAATGTTCTATACTTTTATTTCTTCAAATAATATATATTGCCTGGTACAATATAAAATGTAATATCAATTATATTAATAAAGTTCAAGAATACTATTGTAAAAATTTCAGCACACTAAACACAATTTTTTGACGAAACAAGTAATGAGATTATAATAAATTGTAACTCATTTGAGATTTAACAAATAATTAAATATCATTGATGGCATTTCTAAATAAAGATAATACAATAATAAAATTACAATAGTATCATTTAAAATGATTAAAATAATTTATTATTATCTTTTTTTTTTTTCTAAATAAATCGTATTTAAATGATATATTTTACTTTTTTAATAATTTAACTATGCAACTTAGGTTAGTTAGATAATTATCCAGCTTTTATTCACAACTCCATAACAAAAGCAGTATGTTTTTTTCTTTGAATGATCATTAAATACGATTATTATCACTTTTTTATAATTGCATAATTTTATTTTCAATTCTGATCAAACCAATAAATGTATTTACTTTGAACTTTGTTTACTGTTATGCAGTTCTCTCATTTTTTTTAAATTAAATTCCTTTTGATATTTATTATTAATATATTTATCTTAGTAAGAAGTAATTTATTAGCTATTTCATTAAATGTTCCAGTCTTGTGAGCCAAATTGATATACATTAAATGTTCTAAGTTATATTTTACAAGTATTAAAAATTTGAGTTCAAACTAATACAATTAAATACGATATAAAAATGTAGACATAGAATTACGATATGGTTTTCCATAAACCGTTAATATAAAATAACGAATTGATACAATATTGACAATACTCGTTTATGTTCATGGAATTAAATAATAATAATAAAACAGAAATTTGTAAAAGGTTTGTAAAGTCTTGAAAAAATTAATAGAACTATCATTGATTCAGAACACCAAGGACAATAAGATATATCGTACCGATTGTATCAACTGAACAGCGTTTAATTAGTACGAACAAGAGTTTGTGCGAACATCCACATCTGTGCAAGACATCTAATCTGCGTAAATAAAGCAGGGATTCCTGGCCCGTCGCCATTAAGTGCTAACCGGACATGATCCTCTTACAACTGGAAACACTGGGGTATACGTTAGTTGACTGTGGCTAATAAATAATACAGGTGTACACACACACAGACACTGAGGCACATATACGTGTATATGTATGTATTAAGTCCACCGCGGGCAATAGGCTACACAGCTGTCAGTGGCACATTCGCAAACATAAATTATCCCTCGCGGATCCTTAATTTATCAAACGGTCACAAAACGCCTAGTGACGTTAATGCCATCGGTTAATGTCTGAGCAAATTATTCGACTTGAGAATTAGACTATATTATTGTGGTTAGCCGATGAAATTGACCAATGTGCAAATATAATAATTGTCCCCACTCTACTTTGACATATTGTCATATTATATATAGTTACATGTTATATTGGATTTTCCGTTAATCAGGCTTTTGTGTTAAAAATTATATTAATTTTTAACAATATGCTAACACGTGAAAAATGTTCTAAGAATGAAATTTATTTTCGATAAAACTTAAAAACAATAAGAAAAATAATATTAGCAGGATTTTTATTTGATTAAAGTTTTCTGATTTTTAATTATATTACGTTATCATTAATTTACTTAATAATGTATTTAAATATGTAGCTCCATATTATATTGTATGAGTTATATTCGTAATATTTTTTTTGTTTTACTGATTGGTCATCAATTAAGAAAATTATATTTCATAAAAGCATATAAAAATCAAAATAAAAAAAAAAAAAAAACAATAATATTATTATTCATGAAAATTAATTATTTTAGATTCCAAGCCTGCGGAACTTATGCGTTTTACAATGTTTACCGCAAAAAAATAATTTCAATTAACAGAATTAAAAATATGCTAATAAATACATAAAAATATCATAAGCCATTTTTATAAATATTTATCATCTATATTTTACTATTAGAATCGTTTTTTTTTTTTATACATAAAACGATGATATACATTAAACTGATTTTCAATATACAAATATTTTCTTTGAAATTTGATATTTTGTCTCTGTAGATTTTTTCTAGACATGTGTTATTGAATTATATATAATATAATTCAATAGTTATTTCAATATTGTATATGGTGTATTGTATATGACTTTTTTTTTCTATCTATCATATTATTGTGCCTTAAATATAATCGAAATTATTACGTATTTTGAACACACTGTTTATTGGTTTTTCAAATGCATAATTATTACTTACTAACGTTTAAGAGTTATATTGGCTTAAAAAAAGAACCTCACTGTTAAAAACATTTTACATTTTTAAGATGAATATTTATGAACTCTAAGCCATTTAAATGCTTCCCATTAAGTCTGCTTATCGTTTTTAGGAAAGAACTCTAAAAAAAAAAAAAAAAATGTTGTGAAATGTAAACTTGTATACATAAAACACTACTAAGTATCGTCATGGCGTGGGTAACTTTATGCCTCATTAATCTTAAGAATTATTATTTCTTTACGCAGTTTTATTGAGACAAATTAAATTAAAATAATTAATTCTACTAATTATTCAAAATTATGTCATAAATTAGTAATTGTAATATATTTTCAAACATAAATCAAAACAGTTCTAGATTGATTTTTCAACAATATTTTTATAAAAATCTATTAATATTAAATAAATTTTGAATTGATATGATATGCAATTGGAAATACAACACTATGTTTAAGAAAGCTAACTATGATTTAAATTTATTTATTTATTTATTTATTTTTTTTTTTTTAATTCAATATTTAATAAATATAGTATAATAGTTCACATAATATATGTTTTGGCAATAAATCATTTCTGTAATTGAAGATTCACTGATAATCGAATGAATAAAACCACAAAACATTAGAGTCAGATATTTATTTGTTACTACTGCCCTTTGTAACAACATACATAACTTATGTAACATAAGTTAACTTATAGAATTTAAAAAAAAACTAATGATTTACATTAACTTGTACAAAGTTTTTAGTTTCCTTCATTTGTTATGGCTATATAAAAAAATTAATATTCTGTTATCATAAATATACTTATTTATTGAATAATTAATAAAATAATTAATTTTTAAATTATTATTTGATTTCTATTTTATGACTAAATTAATGATCTAGCTAAGAAATTAAGAAACTTGGAAACATCAAATGAGTAAATTATTATTAAACGGAATTTAGTTTTATTTTAAATAAAATCAGAACCAAGACGGTCATAAATAAGAAGCCCGCATGTGCCTAAAGCTTAAGTGTATCTATTGTTTACTGAAAACAAAAATATTTCATTATTGAACCCATCGTATAACTTTCACCATTAAACTTAAATTAGTAAGAAATGGGAAATAGAATATTTTCAGTTTACAACTTTAAACTATTCATATTGTATAATTATATTTAAACAATATTTCATAAATATCCTATAATTATCAGAAACTGTTAAAATATCACATTTTTCATTATAAGTATATTATGACATAATATAAAATAAATTCAAATTAAATAAGTAGGATATTATTTTGAATCATATAAATAATTTAATGTTACATTTTAAATTTATTACTCATTAATACCCAATAAATCATAAAAATATATTTAAACAATCTTTTTTATTATTATGATTACCAGTGGAATAACAAACAAAAATATAGAATGACATGTCCAAAACTTTTACGAGTTTAAAGTTTACATTATCCAAACTGATATCTTTGCCGAATATACTACGTGTATTATATATATATAAATACTGTGTTCTTATAATGACTTCTATCTTAAAAAAAAAAAAAAAAAAAAATTATTTCAATGAAGATTTTGATACAGAGATAACCGTATAATAGTCACAGTCATTAATTTATTATTCTCTAGAAACCACCATAATCGAATATGGTTTTCTCCACCAATCATCTCGTCATCCGCTGGTATTTTTAAACATTTTTCTGATGGGTGCTCATCTGGAAAGCTTCAAATTTCACTCTTTATTTTTCTTTAATGGGAAAAATTGAATTTTATATTATATAAAAGGCTACGCACCTGCGGCAGTATTCAAAGACCCACGACTAGTGCCTCTCGTCGCCACAACTTACCCCTCTATTACGTCTGCTTATTCATTAAGACGCTTTTGAATATATATATATATATATCTTCGTATATATTATAGACATATACAATGGAGGATGCGAACGACGGTAAGGGAAAACTGAAAACTCTTGGCCGCCTTAATACTACCGCTCACCGCTGCACTGCTATCTATGTTCTGCCCCGTATACCTGGTCCTTATTGCCACTGGTCGATCTTTCGGTCGCGGCAATAGAAGTGTACGTCTAAAAGTCGATCTGCCTGAGCCTATCCTCAATTAATCAACATCAGACCACGAACACGCCTCGCCATCGACGCCTCGTATATATTAAAACATGATAAATTAAACGTTGGCTTCCACCCTTCTAAACGCCCAATATCCGCTACTGAAAATACACTAAATCGCCAATGGCCCGCGGCTCCCTGACCAGGTTTAGCCATCAAATTTAAATCCACCTTGCCACCTCACATTGCCTCCATCGCCACCACCAACACCTTTTTCTCACCACGATCTCTGTTCGAATTCTCCGGGGCACGTCCTTCGTACTATAAACGGGGTTTATTTTTTCTCCTAGCTCGCCTAAATGTTTATTGCACAACATCGGCAAAGCATCCTATTCTCAAATGATAAAATCGTTTTTTTCTTCTTTGTAATAGCCAACCATGTTGTTACTGCCAGTCACACAGCTGCCATCACCATCTCAACGATTTGTCAACTTTGCGTTATTATTGTTGTTAAAATTACAATTTCAGAAAA